GATCATATGTGACAAGGGTCTGACTCAGAGGGTTTTCTTCAATGTATGGAAGTATATCTCCAGGAGTTTCTCCAATTGAGTCACTTGGTACATTTGAACCACCAATTTATTAAAAATATTTAATATCCTGGAACTTAACCAATATGCCATCAAGACTCTTTATAGTTCAGGTACAACTCCAAAACTAAACCCACTGATATTGTCTGTTTCAACTCATAGTGACCTTCCATTAGGTTTCCAAGGCCATAAGTCTTTATGAGAAGAGACTGCCCATCTTTCTACTTTGGAGCAGTAGGTAGATTCAAACTGCTGAACTTTTGGTTAGTTGTCAGTTGCATTACACACTACACCACAAGGGCTCCTTAGAGTCATGGTGTTTGTTGTCGAGTCAGAACTGACTCGTAGCTGACATTCCAGCAGGTTTTCAGAGGCAGTTAATCACATGGGAGGATATTGCCCACCTTTCACCTATGGAGCAGCTGGTGGATTCGAACTGTGTATCATTGGAATTGTAGTGCAGCATCTTAGTTGGCCACCAGAGCTGTTCAGGGTACAGAGTGTTTTATTAAGACAATGGCCTTCTTACAAGGCAGGCATGAGTAATTTTCTATATTTATGTATACTTCTATTTTTTAAAACCGAGGGAAAAGGGTGTGGAGACAAAAATCTTAGCAAATTAGTAGGAAAACAAAGTATGTCCAATTGACCCAGACACAGCACCACCACAGGGCTTAGCAGCTCTGTGGTTAGTAGGAGACTGGAGGCAGCAGTATATCTGAGTCTGTTCTAGATAAATATAAACAATGCAAGAGGCAGGCACTGCCCTGAAGTGAGCTTCTGATTTTGTCTCCTCAACAGAAAAGCATTACGAATACACAGTTAACAGTAGTGGCAAGAGAGGTCCTAAAGCAGGCAAATAAGAAAGGCTATAGAGACCAGGCTGCCTATTTCCTTCATTGATAGATGGAGAAATTGAGGGCAGAAGTCAGGTGGCATGGCCCATCTCACCCAAAGCAACAATACTGCTGTTCCGTCCCCTCTAGGACTACCTTAGTCTCACATTGAATATGAAGGAAACTTCGTTATTTAATGTCAAACTGCAGTCTATTATTCTTTTTCCTTTGAGGGGCTAAATATATTTTGCAGAGAGTTCTATCACTTCAAGAGGTAGATAACTGAAAATTCTTTTCTCCCTCCCTCATTCCCTCCATTTTTATCTTTCTGTATCTTTCTCTTCTTTCCTTCAGAGGTATGTAGACCTGGAGGCAAATGAGAAAGATACAGACAGCAGGTATGCATCACAAGAAACACAATTTTACAAATGCCTATAACTTGACTTGACAGCACCTAACAACAGCTCAAACCTCCTATGACTGAAAATCCCATGGTTACCAAACAAAATCCTGAACTATTAAAAAAAAACAAAACCCAATAACACCTTTCCAAATAATCTTATGTTGTTGTGAGGTGGCATCGAGTCAAGATGACTCACAGAAACCCTCTGTCCTGTGCTCTCCTCATCAACTCTGACACACTTGAGTCCATTGATGCAGTCACTGTGTCTGTCCATTTCACTGAGGGTCTTCCTCTTTCATTGACACTCCACTTCTCCAAGTATGAGGTCCCTTTCTAAGCAATAGCATCTCCTAGCAACATGCCCAAAGTATGTGAGACTAAGCTTCTCTATCCTTACCTCCAAGGAACAGTATTGTTGTAGTGTATCATAGCATTGGAACTGACTCATAGCTGATCCTCTGGTGGGTTCTTTTTCCAAGACATGTCTGCTTGGGGTTTTTTGGAGTTGATGGAATATTCAGTACTCTTCTCCAATACCACAATTCAAAGATACTAATTCTTCTTCTGTCATCCTTATTCATTGTCTAGCTTTCAGATGCATAGCAATTGATTGAAAAGACCATGGCCTGAATGAGGCACTCCTTAGTCTTCAAACTGACATCATTGCTCCTCAGTAATTAGGAAAAGTCCCTGACAACATACTTTCCCAATGTAATATGACTCCTAACGTCCTGACTGTCAATACCAAATGTGTTGTGAATCCAAGTAAGATGAGATTGTTGACAACTTCAATCTTTTCTCCATCTATCATTATGTTGCTTATTGGTTCAGTGGCGAGGATTTTTGTCTTCTTAATGTTGAGATGTAATCCATAACAAAAGCTGTAATCTTTGATCTCCTGCACCAAGTGTCTCAAGTCCTCCTCACTTTCAGCATGTGTGATTGTATCATCTGCATAACATAGGCTGTTAATGAGGCTCTGATTCTAAAGCCACATTCTTCACAAAATCCAGCTCCTCAAATGATTTGTTCAGTGTACAGGTTGAATAGGTATGGAGAAAGGATACAACACTGATGCACACCCTTCCTGATTAAATAATGCAATGTTCCCTTGCTTTGGTCACATAACAACTTCTTGGTCTGGGTATAGGTTTTGTATGAGCATAATTAAGTCTTCTGGGATTCCCATTCTTCTCAACTTTAGCCTTGGTTTGTTATGATCCACACAGTCAAACGGCTTTGTATATTCCCTAAAATACAGAGATGTTCTTCTGATATTTTCTCCTTTTTAGCAAGATCCATCTGGCATCAGAAATGATATCCCTGGTGCCATGGCCTCTTCTGATAATCTAAGTAATGTTTAGACAAAATTAATTTTTTATTCTCTCCCCTGCAACCCAGGCACCAATACCACTGCTTATTTCTCAGCCTTTTTTGCCTTTAGAATCAAAACAAAATCTGGCAATTTTTTTGTTGAATAATCTTGCAATGGGTGTGTGAGTTTATTTACATCTTATGGGTCCAAAGTAAGCTGATAAAGTGTTTATCTCACAATCATCTCATATTATCAGTTTATAAACAGCTTTAGTTAGTTTGAACTGAATTTTCAAACTTGGACCATTCTCAATCTTTTCCATCCCTTACATGCTGATCCAATTGGTTTATTTTCTTCTTGACTCTGATCCTAAGAATTATATACATTTTTGCCAGGAAAAAAAAAAAAGAAAAAACATCAATTGATCAATGTAGCCAAAGCTTTCCCATATATTTCTAGTAAAGAAGAGACGAAACATCAAACCAATGATGCCCAAACATTTACTGGAAGTTTTTAAACGTTTCAAAAATGTGACAAAAAAGCAAGCAAATACAGTGAGACTAATGACAAATTAGACAATGAAAACTAACATCTGGGCAAATCCAGGCAGGGATGTAGGGAAAGTAGGAATTATCTGTGGGTATTTGGTATGCATAGAGCAATATTTTAGACTCTTCCTCATATATTATCTCATTTGATCCCATTCAGGAAAATTACCCTGTACTTGGAATTAAAAGAAAAAATAGCAATTATTATTATTATTATCATCATCATGATCATCATCATGCTACCACATCCTTCATCAAGCGCACCCCAAGCTCACTTGACTCTCTTGACATACGTAACTGTGATTAATATTTCAGAGGGACCAGATTTAGGAATCCTTTAAAGTTAGAAGTTGACTTGTAGAAAACTGATAATGCATGGTGATTTTTTTTTTTTGTCTTCTGGCGGAGAGACTCACCTCAAAGGTAAGTATTTTTTGTCCTGTAGAACACTAACCAATTTATATCTTACTTAGCAATCACATCTCATCATAGCCTTCCCCTTACGTAAATCCCAGTTCATCATATTCAAACTACTCAGTTATTCTCTGACATAACCTTAGCTTTTCACCCATTCATGGGAGGATTATATTGTCAATGATTTGAGTTTGTGCTTTGACCATTCTCAAACAATCACATGAGGTAGGTTGTGTATCCTCATTTTTACAGAGGAAAAACCCAAGTAAGACCCAGAGAAGAGACATTCCCTGCCCAAGGTTACAGAGGTAATAAGTGACAGAGCTGGAGTGTGCACATACATCTTCCTGAATCCTTTTTCAGAAAATACACTAGTGACTCACATCAGAATTTATAATGTAGGGTGTATCATCTCCAAAAGTTATACACATTTACATATGCATACATTTCTGCTTCTGTTAATAAACATGATAGTTGAATTTCAAAAGTAACTAACTCTAAGTCACCTAAACTCTAGTCTTTAATAATTGAAGCTATTTGTTATTGTTTGTTTCAAATAAAAATTTTTAAAAATAGAAGTGTTGGAAAGTGTTCGATCGCAGATTGTATGAAATATTATCATTAAAGTGTGAAATCACAATGCTTTGTTGATTTCATTATTGGCTGTGGATTACAGTGAGAAAATTACTAATAAGGTTGTTAGAAAAGTCATCAAGGAAGTACACAGAATACTTATTTAATAAGTTGTCGTTGACATTTGTTTGACAATATCACTGAATAAGAGTTTGCAAAATTTTTTAATACATTTGACCAAATTACCAGCATATACTAATGTTGCATTTCCTTTTCCCTCAGACATCTACTAATAGAAAATAAAAGACTTCGAAAGTGCTTTTCTCTGAAAAGGTGGTTTGTTGTCCTGACTGAACAGTCAGCAAGGCATCAAGGCCAGAGACTGACAAGCTGTTCTTAGTCTGAAAGCACCTTAGCACACAATGTAAATCTTGAAAGTGGATCTTGGCAGAGGCTGCTCTTGCATATACGTGTTCCTGTGTCAACAGGCATGATTTTCAGCTGGGATAGGTACCTTTGCAACACACCTGAGCACTAACTCAATCTGCACAGGCAGATTTATAAGTCTTGCTCCAAAAAGGAGATTCTCAAGTCAATCAGTATCCAGGTTGGTAAAAACTCCGTGCTGTGTTGTGAGAATTTGGTCCACCAAATCAAGAACTATCCAGAGACCATCTGGCTTGGATTCCCCACAAAGCTCAGCCCCTCTTATGGGCACCATCAATTCTGTAATCCACAGGTTTCGGTGAGGCAATCTGCCCACTTCGGCCCCTCATCCTTTAACTCTGGAGCCAGCTGGATTTCAGCTCCAGCTGAAGGGAAAAGATAATCGTGTGGTTCAAATTCATTTTGACTCAAAGTTTCACCGTTTTATCCTGGCTAAAGCTGCTCACTGTGTCTGTGGTTTTCTTACATAAATTTTCGATCCAGCTAGCGCTATTATACAGTGTCTTTTCCAACCCTGATGTTGGGGGTAGATTTTTAGCGCGCATATTTTTTCCAGATGTTATAAGTTCTCCATAGCCCTCTTGGTGAGCAAAAGCATATCCAGATCTTCTTGAACTTGACCTGCGGGTCTGAGGCCTCCGGCTCCTTAGAGGCCTGGCCTTTTTTTGCTCCTTCTGCCACTGACGGATCTGGGGAGAAATGAGAGAAATGAGAAGTGAGGTGATGTGTCCCAACAATGGGCAACAGGCAGCGGGTCACTGTGTAGTGAAAGTCTTTTTAATAAACCAGTATCAACATTAACATAACATTCACCTTCATTGTGAAAGGAAAAAATGTTGTCTGAAAGAGAATGTATTTTCTACCTAAAAGACAATACTGACACTGATAGTTTTTATTCCTATAAGGAGACTATTAAGGAGGCATGAATTTTATTATCTCCATCTCAAACAGCTGTCTTATATGAATCAGAAGTACTACAGCATTAAAAAAAAAGTAGTTTTTAATATGTATCATCCAAATTCAGTCAATTTCTAATACCTTTTAGTTCAGTACTCCAAATCAGGTCTTTCCCCTTTTCGTTTAGAGTTTCTTAGGACCCCAAACAGGAACTTGATTAGGAGAAAGTTTAGATAGAAAACAGACTGAGAGGGAGAAATCTTTGTGGTAGGGTAATATACCAAGACTTCCAGGATTCCCCACCCCCACTTTGTGTGTGTGGGTGTGCTTGTATGTGTCCTTTTGAAGGGCTCAGCATAATTTGGGTCATTTTTTAAATACTTTTAATTTTATTACAAAGTTCAGGGGGAAACTCTTAGGTTTGGTCCAGTACTCACTGTTCTCTGATTTGGCTGATCTCTTGAAGTCTGACTTTCATATTAGAAGAACACCAGTGAGCAGAAAACCACAGACTGACTCAACATAGAAAGAAATAAATGTCATCTTCCCTTCTGTTCATCCATCATTTTACTGTTTGTGCAAGAATCTGCTCACGACCAAAGGAAAAGGCCATGTGTGAGAGGAGACGCCATAAAGCATGACAAAAGGCGTCTCCTCATGTGTTGGTCCCAGAATCCAGGGGTCATCATGGTAAAGGGAGTTTTGTCTCAGGTCCTCTCAGCTTCTCAGACCTGGTCACTTCACTTTTTCCATTTCTTGTAATATAGTTGCAAATGTGTACTAGCCCTTTCGTTCTTTTCATATTTTCTCTTTATTTCTGGGTCCTTATCTACCCCAACATTGTCTTGCTAATACCTTTTTTTTTTAAATAAAAGTTTTATTTTATACTGGTTTACTTACAAAGTTCATATGCATTTTTTTTCCACACCGGCTCCTTCCCATTTCCTTTCCCCACCCTCCCCTCCACCCATCAATTTGTGTGATCCTATGATTAACCACCACCTAAGCCAGAATGCGCCTTGAAGTCAAGGATTCTGAAGCTTTGTCTGACATACTTTGTGCATGTTGGAAGGAGGGACTGGTCCTTGGAGAGGGACATCATGTTTGGGAGAGTGGAGGGACGGCGCAGGAGAGGAAGACCCTCGATGAGATGGATCGATTCTGTGAGTGGAGTGGTGGGAATGAATGTGTTTGAGACAGTGAGGTTGGCCCAGGATAAAACGGCGTTTAGGGCTCTTGTACATAGGGTCACTATGAGTCACAAGCAACTCGATGGCACATAACAACAACAACCCACTGTAGCCCATCCTTCCCCATCTGCTCTCACCCTCCCCACCTCCACGCTTTGGGTCCTCAAACACATTCTAATAATGGTCTTATAGTATCGGTCCTTATTGGACTGAGTTAGTGCACTTAGCGTAATGCTCTCCAGTCCCTCCCATGTTAGGTAGTGATTTACTAAATCACTGCTCCTGAGTGTTGCATAGTATTCCACTGTGTGAATTTCTCAATCCATTTGATTGTGGTTGGGCATTTGGGCTGTTTCCATGCTCTTGTGATGGTGAATAAAACTGCTAGGAACATTGGTGTACAAATCTATTTGTGCCTCAGTTCTCATATTCTCAGGGTATATTCCAAGCAGTGGAATAGCTGAGTTAAATGGAATTTCTATGTTCAGCTTTTTGAGGAAACACCAAACTGCCTTCCAGAGTAGTTGAACCATTTTACAATCCTACCAACAATGTATAAGAGGTTCTACCTCTCCACATCTTCTCCAATTTTTATTATTATTATTTGCTGTCCTATTAAGTTTTGCCACTGCTACTGGAGTGAGATGGTATGTCATTATGGTTTTGATTTGCATGTCTCTTATTAATAATGATTTTGAGCACTTTTCATGTGTCTATTGGCCATCCAAATATCTTCCTCTGTAAAAAGTCTTTTCGTGCTAACACTGTTCTTGTTCTGAAGTATTGAAGTATGTTTCCCTAATTTCCTAGTTCAATTATATCTATACAGTAAGTTCCTGAGTTATTATCATCTGACCATACTTTTCCATTGTTGTTGTTAAGTGCCATTAAATCACTTACCTGTCATACTAACCCTATGAACAACAGCTCTGAACCCTACTCTATCTTGTGCCAAGCTCATCATCTCCAACACACCCACCACCGTTACCCCAGTCATTGAATCAATCCGTCTCAGCGAGGGCCTTCCTCTCCTGTGCTGTCCTTCCACCCTCCCAAGCATGATGTTCCTCTCCAAGGACTAGTCCCTCCTTGCAAAATGCCCAAAGTATGTCAGATGGAGTTTGAGAATCCTTGCCTCCAAGAAGCAGCCTGGTTTCGCCCTCTCTGGGACAAGCCTGTTTTTTCTCCCAGCAGTCCATGGTATATTCAGTACTCTTCTTCAGTACCAAACCCCAAAGGCATCAATTCTCCATCTGTCATCCCTAGTCCTTGTCCAGCTTTTCCATTATTGTTATATAAATTTGCCTTCAACTCTGAATTGATTGAACCAAACCCTGCTCAAAGCAAGTTATTCACCACAATTGCTTTTCTTATTGCATGTACAATTTTTAAATTATTGAAAAACTTGAAGTTTTTTCCCCCCACTAAACTAAGGCTGAATAAGAATAATATTCACCTAATCCAAATTAAAAATTCAATTTAATGCCACCCTTGGGAAGAGATATTCTTCATAATCAGGGAACTGTCTGTAATAAGTTCTTTATAATCTCTTCTATCTTTACCGTTTTCAGTCCTCCCATGATATTGCGGTTTCTTTTCTTAACTGTTTAGAAAGTTACACCTCCTCTATATTTCTTGATCTGCTTCTATATTTCTACAGGAATTTAGAAGCCCTTCACGTCATACCATACGTGCCTCTCTTCTATTGTGCCCTCTATCTGCCCCCCACATGTACTAGTGGCAGAGTGCATTGTGTGTTACACTGCTAATATAAAGGCTAGAGATTCAAATCTACTAAAGATGGGAAGTCGCCTCCCATAAAGAGATACAGCCTAGGAAATTGGATACAGGGTCAGCCACTACCAGTCAGTCAACTCAACAGAAGTAGTTTTGTCTGCCCCCAAGGCAATAAATTTCCCTCTAGCTTTCCCTTGTCTTGGAACCATAATGATGTTGCTGAACTTCTTTTTTTAAAAAGCAGCTTTGTCAAATACTCAACTTGTAGTTTATAACTCTCCACCCACATTGAGTTTAGGTACCTTTCTTCCTGGACACCCCAGGACTAGTACATGGAAGAGATGAGCAATCTCATCTACTCTGAGTATCACAAGGTGGGCATTCTCATAGCCCTTCCCTGGGCAGCAGTTCACCAGTCAGGCATAAGAGGGTATCATTTCAAGAGTGAAGAACCCGCCCAGCAGGATTCACCAGCACCGCCACATACCTGATCACTCAAGGTTGGGTACAGCTCCACCTTCAAAAATCTGACTGCCACCACAGGCATAACTGAAGCCACGGTCGTTAAGAGAACAATAAGCCAGATGGATTTCTGGGTCAAGGAATGTCGTGCGTTTCCTGCAGTGAAAGAAGAATATGCACCGTGGTCACAAAAAGGGCCGAATTACTAAATGTGTTTCTGTTTGTTCATAGAAGAATAGTCTTGAAATCATGAAGTTTGGAAAAGGACAACATGCTTGGAAAGCTAGTCAAATAAAGGAGAGGAAGATTCCAAACAGGATGAACCGACAAGGTGACCCCAGCAATGGGGTCGTCAGAGATGTTGATGACACAGGACAGGGCCGAGTTCAGGCTGGCTGTTCATAGCATCGTTATGAGTCATACTCAACGACGGAAATTAACAAGGAATTACTGGGTGTTTTCCTCAGTATATTCAAGAGGAATAGGGGAAAAGCTAGTCATTAGTTCACTCTTAGGAGCTGCTTTGTGGGCGGATCACTTGGGGACTGACAGCCCAAGTCAAGCATTTTCTGACCTAGGCTCAGTCCAGCTTTATCATGAAGTACATTTTTCCCCCATTCAGCTTTAAGACCCTCTAACTACAAATCAATTAATTCTTAAAGGCGAATTTACACTTTTTTTCTTTAGCCTTTTTTTTTTCTTGTAACAAATTCAGATAATACAAAGATTTGGGTATGTACAATTCAGCGAAAGCATTCACATCAATCATGTTGAAGGCTCATATACCAACTCTTGAATAAAAACTATTCTACCAAAATTGTACAATATATTATGGAAGCTGGAATAATTGTATATGTATTAGTCTTGTTGACTGGATGCATCATAAAGGCAGAACATCATACACTGCTGGTCCAGAATTTTTCAGTTCCACACACTCTTCCTCGAAAATCTGTCTCTAAGTGGCTGGCTTGTCTCCTCCAGGTTCATTTGGTTGATCAGGGTTCTAAGGTGCCTAGTGACGCTTTTTAAAAAAAAATCTGTTCCTACATTTCTACAGAAATTTAGAAGCCCTTTTCCTCAGACTATACTTGTCTCTTACTGTGCTCTTTGGAGTGACTAGGTTTGTAGGCATCTCTGAGAGACTGAATTGAAGCCATCTAAACAAGCCTGAAGCCAGTTTCTTTATGTTATACTCACAATTCATATACGGCAATGTTGGTTGAAAGAAAACAGTAAGTCAATAAGGCAGGCAGATATTCTTCATGGAAGATGCTAATTTTACTTATATAACCATAATATTATTTGTCCCTATTGGTTTTCTAAGGATTCACATGGTAGATTCACACCATAATTATATAGGCCCCTTCTTCTAAGACTTGAAAGGGCCTTGGGTATGAGGGCTTGGCTACTGACTGGCATGTCTGCTTTTCCTAGTTTTACAGGATAGACTCTGCCTACCAAAGAGGCAGCTGATTCCAGTTGCCTTCAGTCATGGACAGAAACAAACTTGACTTAGTAAATTAAACGTCTCTTTGAGCTCCTTGAATCTCAATACCCGGAGGCACGGCTGGAAAAACAAGCTTCACTTCAAAACCGCACTTCTGCTTGCTACTAAGAAGAAAAAAAATTTCTTTCTTAAACCCCAGTGTTGATCTAACTTTTGAAAAGTCTCATTGGCGTTCAGTAATTCATTCCTGGAATGGCATGTGCTTTGCTGGAGAGTGGCCCCCACACAAAACTACTTTCTCCAGTCGACAAGTTCCAGTCTCATTAGGCGTGTTAGAACGGTTTTAGAACTGGAAGTCTCCTGGTGAATGCAGTGAACTTTCCGACTTGGCAAGAACAACAACAACAAACCTTAAAAAATAGTTTTTATGTTTCCTAATAAGCTCATTCTTGTTCATAACCAACATGTCTCTACATGATCAGAAAATTTTTAGTAAACAAAGGTTTGGTGTATTTAGTAAGAATAGTGAAATTTAAAGACATCCGTATACATACTGGGCAAGGTAAGAGCTGAGTTAACAATGTACTTAAATGATGTGGTTAGGTGGCATCAAACCAACTACAATTCATAGCCACCCTATGAACTCTATGTTCTGACCCCTATGACCCTTTGAACCCTATGATCCGAACCTTGCCCTTTCCTATATCATTCTCATGATCTTCATTATGATCAAGCCCATTGTGGTAGTTACTATATCAATTCACCTACTTGTGGGTCTTTCTCTCTTTCACTGACCTTTCTAGCATGATGTCTCTGTCCAAGGACTGATTCCTCCTGAAAATATGCCCACAGTCAGTGAGACAAAGTTTTACTGTCCTTGACTCTCAGGAGCATGCTGGTTCTAGTTCCTTCAAGACAGATTTGTTTGTTCTTTTGGCAGTAAATGAAAGTCAGCACTCTTCTCCAACACCACAATTCAAAGGCACTAATTTTTCTGCCATCCTTACTGGTTGCCCAACTTTCAGGTGCATAGAAAGCAATTGAAAATACCATGGCTTGCATTGTTGTTGTTATTGTTGTTGTTAGGTGCCATTGAGTCAAGTACAACCAACAGTGAACCCATGAAGAAGAAATCTGAACCCTCTCCTACCCTGTGCTATTTGCACAATTTCTGATATACGCAAGCCCATTGTAGTAATCACTGTTTCAGTACATCTGGTTAAGGCTCTTCCTCTCATTTGCATCCCTCCACCTTCCCAAGTATGATGTCCCTCTCCAAGGAATAGCTTATCCTAGCAACATGAATGGAAATCCAAAGTCTCTGTAAACTTTCAGCAAAATCTCAATTTTTAAAAAAGTACATAAGATGAAGTTTTGTCATCTTTGCTTTCAAGGAGCACTCTGGCTGCACTTTCCCCAAGACATATCTGTCTGTTCTTTTGGTAATCCTTGGGACTCTTCTCAGTGCTCATCTCCAACACCGCAGTTCAAAGGCCTCAATTCTTCTGTCATCCTTCTTCATCATCCAATAGGTGCACAGCAAGTGATTGAAAAGACCGTGGCCTGAATCAGATGCACCTTAATCCTTAAGCTGACATCATTGCTCCTCAATAATTTGAAGAGGTCCCTGACTTCAGACTTTCCCAGTACAGTATGTCTCCTGATCTCCTGACTGCTGGTTGTGACTGTTGATTATGGATCCAAATAAGATGAAATCATTGACAACTTCAATTTTTTCCCCTCCATCTATCATGGTGTTTTCTACTGGTTCAGTGGTGAAGATTTTCCTTTTCTTGGTGTTGAGATGTAACTCACTGAAGTCTGTAGTCCTTGACCTTCTGCACTAAGTGCTTCAAGTATTCTTCATCTTCTGTTAACAAGGTTGTGTCACTTCCATCACGCAGGTTGTTGAGTCTTTCTGTGATCTTGATGCCACATTTTTCTTAATATAGTCAAGCTTCTTGAATGATTTGCTTAGTATACAGATTGAATAGTTATGGAGAAAAGAGAGTTCTGATGTACATCTTTCCTGATTTTAGACTATGTACTGTTCCCTTTCTATGTTCAGACAACAGCTTCTATGTGAACAGGTTTCACATGAGCAAAATAAAGTGTTATTAAATGCACATTCATTTAAATGGAATTACAATTTCAAGTGTCTTTATATCAGTGCCTTTAATCAGGAAATTATTATTCTTCTTTTGCCTTCTCTATGAATTAATTTGAATAATTGCTTTCTGTACTCACTACCATAATTGGAGAAAGATGGTCATTCTCCTCCCATGTACTTTAAGCCTCAGAAACCTACTGGAGGGTCAGTTATGATCTGGTTCCAACTTCATAGCAATGAGTGAGTGAATATGTTAGCAGGCAATCTTCCCAAGTAAAAACCCCAAATCTACTGAATGGGCTAAATTCTTATTCCATGGCTGTAAATCCTTATAGAAGCAGATTGCCTCATCTTTCTCATGGAACAGCTTTTGGGTTCAAACTACTGACCTTTGAGTTAATACCCAAGTGGTTAACTACCACCACAGCTCCTGTGCTCCCCAAGTAGTGAGTGAAAATGTATCAGGCTGGCCTGATTAAACTCAAGAAGGTTGGCTTTATACATCTCTCTTTTCTACAGTCTGCTAGACTGAGCTCTGAAATACAATTCACATAACACAAACTTCCAAAGAAGTACACCAATAATCCCCTGTAGCAAGCATAATGAATCCTAGTGGTTCAGTGGTTAAAACACTCAAAGGCTAACTGAAAGATAAGTGGTTTGAACAGTACTCTGGTAGGGTCCCACTGAATTAGAATTAAATCAACAGCCACGGGTTTAGGGGTATATCAAACATAATATCTTCTTTTAGGAATAATTTTAAAATGTAGAGTGTGGGTGGAGATGTACACTCTGTGGTAGCAGGCATCCATTCTTCATAAAGCCAACCAATCTCAGAGTTTTAAAGGATCTTAAGGGGCCCTTTGCTACATATCATCAACTCAATAGCAGTGAGTGGGGTGGGGTTTACTAGTCATCTGATCTCCAAAATCTTCCACAATGTCCTCAACTGTTACAAAGTTACATTTGTTTGAAAAATAGTAATAATCATCATAACCTGGGTTAATATTCATTAAAAAATACTGTCTATAAGTCATTCTTACATTATCTCATTTAATAATCACAAAACTTCTCTGAAAATAGGAATTTTAATATTTCCAGTTTACAACTGGAAAATTAAGTACAGCAAGGCATAGAAAAGAGCAGAAATTTGTCTGAGTCTAGCCAAGAAATAATAAGTGGTAGAGCTGACACTTGAATTTTGAATGTTCAATTCAGAGCGTAATCTTCATGTGGTTTTATAGACTAATTCCCAGTCATCTTTACAAGCCTCTAAATTATATATCATTTCCTTATTTCCTAAATGCAAGTAAATATCATAGGTGAACTTTGACTACTTAGATGTTGGTGATGATCTGGCAGAAAAGCAAGAATCTAGAGTCCTTTATCTTCCCACTATTCTACATGAACTTTTAGCAAGACTTGAGGCAGCTCAAATACATAAATTATATCCCTTGTTCCTAGTAGACCATCATATATTCAATACTCTTCTCCAACATTACAGTTCAAAAGCATCAATTCTCCTTCTATCATCCTTAGTCATTGTCCAGCTTTCTGATACATAGGAAGTCATTGGAGACCATTGAAGATCATGGCCTCGATCAGGCACACTTTAGTCTCCAGACTGATAACTCTTCAGTATTCTGGAGAGGTCCCTGACAGCAGATTTTCCTAAAGTAATTCCGTTTTGGTGGTTTGTTTTTTGTTTGTTGTTTTGTTTTTTTAATTTCCTGGCTGCTGGTACCAAAATTGTTGATTGTGGAGCCAAGTAAACGGAAGTTGTTAACAATCTCAATCTCTTTGCCCAGTGATGGGAATCTTTGTTTCCTTGATGTTGGGTTTCAATCTATATTGAAGGCTAAAGTCTTTGACCTTCTGCAGCAAATACTTCAGGTCCTCCTCAGTTTCAGCAAGCAAGGTTGTGTCATCTGCATAATGCAGGTTGTTGCTGAATCTTCCTCCAATCCTGATGCCAGATTCCTTTTCATAGAACCCAGCCTCTTGGATGGTGTGTCCTCCACATAGATTGAAAAGGTATGGAGATAGGACACATCCCTGGCGTACATCCTTCCCAATTTTAAACCATGCAGTGTTTCCTTATTCTGTTTTGACAACTAGATTTCACATAAGCACAATCAAGTGTTCTGGGATTCCCAGTATGGGGTCACATGGACTGTTAGGAGAACAAATAGGTCCATACTGGAGAGGGTGAAACCAGGTTCTCCTTGGAGGCAAGGATTCTAAAGCTCCACCTGACATACTTGGACATGTTGTAAGGAAGGACCAGTCCCTGGAGAGGGACATCATGTTTGGGAGGGTGGAGAGACAGCACAAGAGAGGAAGACCCTCAATGAGATGGATTGAGTCAGTGACTGGAGCACTGGGTGTAGGCATGTCAGAGATGATAAAGTCGGCTCAGGATAGAGCAGGGTCAGAGCTGTTGCACATAGGGTCGCTATGAGTTGCAGGCAACTCGCTAACAACAACAACAACAACAACAACAATCCCTTGTTCACAAAGGAAGGGACCACTACATTTGAACTTTCAACCACAAACAGCTGCCACTAAGGCTCCTCTACATCTGGTGAGGGCAGTAAAAACTAATCTTTTTGGGGCCTTTTTCAAGTCAGAAGGCCTGAAAATAATCACTGAAGACATAATCATTTGTCATCTTTAGCCTCCATCAAAACCTAGAAAACAAGTTACAAAGTCTAATAAATAGCAACATTAAGCTAAACCCCACTACATAGTAGAAGTCACTTACCAACAAATGGAAACTGGTTTGGAAAGATGCCAAATACCCCATTACTGTGCATTGCAAATAGAATGGAGAAATAAGTAGCAATGCTGCCCCAGATGAAGACATGATTAATGGCGGTCCAGTAACTGGTATCCAAGGCTATCTGCAAGTAAAATAAAATACACAGAGGGAGATCTTTGAGAACTGAAGCAGCATCATCTTATTGTAGTTCCTCAGAATTACTGTCAAACTGTTTTGCTGCCTGGCCAACCATTGATATGCTCTTCTTCTACGTAGTATGAAAGATTGACTTAAATTTATTATCACTTCAGGTAGATGGTGAACTTTAGAACCAATGTCTGCCAAGCCATTATATCTGCCAAGGTTCAGATAGAGCCAGGAAATGAAATATTAAACTCCTTTTAAGCAAGAAATAAGAAAATTTCAAAGTTATTTTCCAAATTCCTCTTTTCTAAAAACTTTACGACCGGGAAAAAACAATATCCAGTGAGCAACTACAACTTGCTTTTTATGGTTTTGTAATACGTATATAAATTTTACACATTTCATAAATTTTCATAAGACTGTTCTTACATATCCATAAGCTATTTTATAGCAATATTATAATTAATTTTCATAATCTTTCCTGTTATGTTACTCATATAACAACAAAGAAAATTCTTTGCCATAAAATTGAGAAACTTGGATTCACGTGACCAGAGAACACATCCCTTCCAATAACTGTTGTGACAGTTCAGCTTAAAATGTGTGGTCTACTATTGGGGAATGAAGGAAACCACCAGTGAATAGGAATCCTTTAATTCTCCAGAGAAAAATAGTCATTTCCAGCATCATTATTTTTATCTCAGAAGACTCAAGTCGTACAAACAAAGGTTTGCACTTTTAGCAGAGCTAACAGCAAGGCTAGAGATAATTTTTTTTCTGTCTGAATGAGAATATATGAAAATACTCCTTCCAGTGTATGAACACATACTTCTGTATCTCACTTGCAGTCTATTGTTCTTTAAAATATTGCCCTATTCTCATAATGTTGGCAAATTTGGAATGTCAACTACCTTTTCTCTCTTCAAGAGGACTAAAAACAGACAGCCCTGTCATTCAAGCCTTAGCATAGAAATGCTGGTTTTCCAGGACATGTAGTTGTTAAGACTTTGGACCAAAATCTCTGATGTTACCTTCTATCACCCACCATTTTGCAACCAAGAGACACTAATCTTGACCTCTGTGATATGAGTAAGTGAAGGAAAAACAAAACCTATTCAAGAGGACTCAGTTTAAAAACAAGAGTAGATTGTACCTACTGAAGCAGAATAGAACAGAACAAACCAAACCTGTTACCACTGAGTTGATTCTGACTATAGGCCGGAGTAGAACTGCCCCATAGGGTCCCATGGTTTTTACCATTACAGAAGCGGGGGGTTGGGGGGGGCCTCCATCTTCCTCCCCTTGACCACTGTGTGGGTTCTAACTGCTGACCTTTCAAATACTCTGTCACTCTGACTCCAGATAGAACAGATGGACTTTTATTATAACAACAAAATAATTAGTAATTCATGAGAAATAGATCACAGAAAATATTTCTGGATGAAAAAGCATTATTTCTGGATTTTAAAATTCAATAAAGAAACAAAAAGGACAGTCACTGATGAGAAATGAATTAATGTCCTGGAAAAAACAAATGGAAATAATATCTCACAACAGAGAGCAAAACCTGAAGAAATGGAAACCATGTGCAAGAAGACAGGAGAGAGGGATGGAGGATCCATAGACAACAGAGCTGTAAGCACAGTACACACGGAACGGCATTTCAGAAGTGGAACAAAGGACTAGAGAAGTAATGATCATAGACATGTCAGAAGAAAACTCGTGATAAAGAACAACATGAATTTTCCAATTAAGAGGACCATAAATCCAAACAAATGAAAGATACATTTTCATGATATTTATGAAAGCCGAAGAAAATGAAAAGATCCATGTTGAAACAGAAAAAGAAATTACTTATTAAAGAAATCAACTTAACAACAAACTGCTACACTGAAGCTGGGTAAACAGCTACAAAGCTTTAATGAAAAAGACTCTAAGACCACAATCCCGAAGGTATGTGGTTCAAATTCACCAGCTTCTCCACAGGAGAAGGATAGGCAATCTCCTCTTGTGTAGTCAATTGTCTCTGCAAACCATCAGAGCTTTGAATTGGTTCCAGCTCAAGAGCACATAACAACAACATGTCATTTAAATCCAAAAACAAAAGTTTCACCTCAAAAGTATAATTTATATTAATCTTTTCTAAAGAAATTATTAATGGAAATTGCTACAACCAACCAGAAATTAAATGAAAACAAAGATCTCGAGATAGTGGAAGACAAAGAGTATAAGTGGTGTTGTGCAATGATTCATAAAGATTTGTTAACAATAAAAGTTCCTTTTGTGTATACTACAATTTATAACTACTCATGTATCTCACGGTGAAACTACACACCACTAAGTATTAACCAAAGTCAATGCTGACTTTCCAGAATAAGGATACTAAGTCTTTTGTCTGAGGCAACTCTGAGAAGGAACAAGCCTTCAACCTCTTGGGTAATAGCTGAGTGCATTAACCAGTCACACTATCCAGGGACTCTGCTGATATGATAGCATGTTGTGGTGATGGTGGTGGTGGTCCTGGTGGTGGTTGTATTATACTGTCAACTCAGAACCGACCCATAACTGACCCTCCGGTGAGTTTTCAGAGGCAGTTAATCACACAGGAAGAAATTGCCCATCCTTCACTCACAGAGCAACTGGTGGCTTCGAACTGTTTGCCTTTGGGATTATAGGGCAGCTTCTTGCCACTAGGCCACCAGAGCTTCCTTGATAGCATGTACAAAGTAAATTATGGGCAAGAAATAGTAAAAAGAAAATTAAGATACATAAAAATATGAATATATTTTTATAAAATTATATATTCTTTGTTGTTGTTGTTGTTGTTATGTGCCGTCGAGTCGTTTCTGACTCATAGGGACCCTATGCACAACAGCCCTAAACCCTGCTCTGTCCTGCGCCAAACGCACTGCCTCTGACACACCCATCCCGATTACCCCAGTCACCGAATCAATCCATCTCATAGAGGGTCTTCCCT